CCAAAAACAACCCTAACCTTCCTTTAGTTGTATAGAGCCTTGTGCTAACATTTCATAGAGATTATTGTCTGCGAACCAAAATGTCTTCAGACGCAGACGCAGACAACACCATAACATTATATTACTATTTGCGGCCGTATAAATTTTAAAATTAATAAGTCTCTTGATGAGTATATTTCAGAAAAATGAGAGAAAAAAAGTGAAAGCTACTTATAATGATTTAGCTCTATGTACTGTCTTTTGATCATGACAGAGTAATGAGACAGTAAAACTTTGAACTGTATAAAAATGACCCCGGTGATTTCTGCCTCCATTTTTCTAGATATTAAAATTTAAAAACATAAAAGACAGTGTTATAGCAGTTTGCAATAAAATAAAGAGCGTGAGAGAGATGGTCTATGGATGTTTGGTGGAATTGAAAGAGACAGCAAGAAAAGTTCTTTTGCCACGGTAAAAAAATCAAGAAAAGAAACATTACGGAAATGAATTTAAGACAATATAAAAGTTGGAACAATCATATGCAGTGTCTATGGAAAACAAACTTTGATTTCGATAGCAATTATCAGTGAATTAGGAGATAACTGTATTGTGTTTTAAGCATCAACGGCATCAATTGGTGATGTGATGGTCGCAAATTAAGTTTACTGGCGACGAGTTAGCGGAGCCAGTAAACGGGTATTTGCGACCATCAAATCACCAATTTATGCCGTCGGAGCTTAAAATACAATATTGTTATCTCCATTCTAATGAGACCGACAGAAAACAACGTCAAAACATCCATTTAAAATCTGTCATACGTCGTCTGCGCTTGCGCGTACTTTTCATAGCATCAATTGTGAATTGATGCCATGAAAATTTACGACGTTATCCAATCAAAATGAACGTTACAAACGGTGTTGCATTATAATCTCGTCTATCTACTATTAACATGATTAAGGGCATACGATACAATTTCGATCCCATGATGTTTTTTTTACGAAAATTTGCATGCAAGCTTTTTTTCACCTAAGCAATTGAAATTTGTTATACAAAATATACCTTCATGTGTTACGTTAAGAGATAAAAGAGTCGAAATTTTAGACATTTACTAAAAATTTCGATTATTTTACATTTCTATCCTAGGATAGAGTCAGTGGCGTAGCTTGCATTCTGTTATTACCGAGGCAGGGGTTTGGGGGGGGGGGGGGGGGGCTGTGCCCCAAGAAGCTATCGAGGTTTTAACCATTTGAACAAGAAAAATCTATTAGAAATAATAGTTGTTGTTTAATTTCATTTCATCATAATAATGTAAATATGCCTTACACTAAGTAGTTTCAGTTGATTACTGGTACCTGCATCATTTTCAATGTACAGATGAATACATAAATCTTCTCAAAAGCATTTACCAGTTTTTCAAATCGAATCCTTTCAGTGAACTTCCCAGATTTAAAATTCTTTGCGAATACAGGAGATGGATATGTCAAGTTCAAAATTGTCCTGAGTCTATAGAAAGTTGTGTATGATTTAAACCGATACTATCTAATCTACGGTCAACTCAAAGTTATAAAAAAAATACACTTGAAGATATCACATAAGTCAACCACTGACAAGTCAGTTTCCTGACTTGCTAGCAGTAACTGAAAGCCAGCTCAAAAGCCTAAGCTGCCGAAATATTTCCAAGCCGTCGTACTCTTATATAGGTGGCTGTACCTCACTGTGACAAAAGATTTAACGTCATATCAGAAGGGAAACATGACCTTGTTCGATGGCCAGATGAAACCTGTACAGAATTTTCAATACAGAAAAACAAAGCATGATTAAGGTTTATTTGAAATAATTTTTGTGATGATCATTTACTCGCTTGATTGTTGGTTTCGAATCAACGAATTATAGATATTCATCACAAAACGACAGAATTTCTTGATAAACTAGGAGATAAACACATGCTACATGTACAGTGCACCACGGCACTTGTATTGGTTGTGTGTCGTCCTGGTGTTTCTTGGAAGGTCTTCAAATTCTGAAATGTTTTTGAACTTTTTCCATTCACGATGAAAATGACAACCGGCGAAGTACTAACATTTACGTTATTCTGATGTCTTCATGATAAATAAAAACAGTATTTGGTTGAAATTTGTATATATAAACTGACATTATGTATGAACTAACAGACATATAATAAATATTTCTCTGGAATTAGTGACTCCTTTAAATATTTGAAATTCCCTGCTAGTGAAAACTATAAATTCAAAATAGCGAGAATAAAACTTGAGAACCGCAACATATGTGCATGATGATTGATGTATATTTTATTTTGATTGGTACCAAAGTCAATGAAACTCTGTGTGTTTGAACTTCTACACCAAGGGAAAATATTAACACACAACGATGTTTCAATTTTAGACATTACGGTTATAAATGAGGGTTTAAATGGGATCTTCAAATATTTATTTTTAATTCTTTTCGCCCATAATTTGATTTTCCTTTCTTTTATATTTTGGCATCATTTTAAATCTCTATTCTTTTAAGTTTAAGTTAATTTCAGGGCATTTTTCTGTTTTCTATAAACCTCATCCAGACCCTCATATACTAGAAATTATTATCACACACAATTAAATAATTTACCTGATTCAAGGGTCAAGTGATTCGATCGGGGAAGACTCGTAGGTTGGATCATCATCTATTCTACTGATTTTGCTTGCAATGGGGTAGGACTAAATAAATATGTTGTCGATTTTATTTTACTCCGACAAATTTAGATTACAGAAAACTACCGCAAAGGGGATTTCCAACTAGGGGAGGGAAATTTTTCCATAAGTCTTGAATTTGCAAAGGGTATGAATCAATATTGGCAACAAAACGAAACAAGTTGGTATATAAGCGTTTAGTATCTAGTCTGTTGCATTAAGTGGAAATCGTTTAAAAGATTATTAAGGAAAAGTTTTGCCTCGGTTGCCTCAACGTAAGCTACGCCTACTTAGATACACCTAACTTTTTATTTCAACAGATAAACACAAGTGGATTTATGTAGAAACATTACATAAATATGCTCTTACTATGTACAACAGTTCTTTGGAAATAATTAATTTGCAACAAAGTTTCAGGGTTTTAGAAAAAAAAAATGGCATTTTTTGCGGTATATTTATCAAATTTAAAAAAAAAAATTCAATGTTGACTTTTTCATTGAAATTGGTACAAATAATCTTCATACGTAATCAAACCTAACACCATTTTAAAAAAGAGGGGTTCATGTACTCGTTTTCAAGTTAAATCAGTTTAAATCACAAAAACAGTCGAAATATGCATCTTTTCTCGATATGTCACAGTTTGACGTCGCGAAAATAACATTTTACGTTAGCAACGTCATTACCTCCCCTGTAACTGTATCGTATGCCCTTAAAAAAACATGATTACTACAGAAATGAGGAACAATCTAAATTCTAGTCTTGAAGATTTTCAAGATTAAATGGGTAAGTACAATTCAATTTATATCTATCTGTTTGAACATTCTCCGTTTGAAGTGATGAAAATAATGGCTATTGTTTTCATTTCTGCATAGCAACATAATTTGGGGTTATTGGTCCTGCACTTAATTATTGCATTTTTCCACTTGTGAGGTGTGCCACAGAAGATTTTACCAAAATGTAAATGAATAATAAAAGAAACGATCAGAGGTTGGTTAGAGAGAAGGTTATGTTATTGTCTTGATCCAGCAAGATCCTGTTGTTGCTGTTTTGGAGGCTTAACTTAAAACATAAGTTGAGGTGTAGTTACCTCAAGGAGATAACTACCCAACAACACATCAAAAAATACATTTAGAGATTAATATACAGTCTACAATAATAAACATGTGTCTATACCATATAATTAAATTTACCATACTGCAATAATTGAACATATCCTACCAAAGTTATACCATAGACATAGAATTCCATTAAGGTCAAGAAACGTCATATTTCTAAAAACAAACTAGACACGGATCCTGACTTGGGACAAACATACTAACAGTGTTTGGTTTTTTAACCATGCCCTTTTTTACACTAAAATATTGGCAAATGTATTCCTGAACAAACTTCATGCAGCAACGTAAAGAGGTGCAGGAAGATGAAAACAACACGTTAAATTATATCATGCGTCCGAAGTGCTTTTCTGGATTTACATTCATCAGGAACGCTCAAAGCCACATATTTGAAAGCCGACGATGTATAAGAACAGAAACAGAGCTATACGACAAAAAATACCCCAAAAAAAGCAAAATCCATCTAAGGTCAACTTTGCCTGAGGGAGTTGAAACCTTAGTTTCTTTATAATTTCAAATTTATAAACGAATAATTTTAGAAAGGTTTGTTAAAAATCATATCAGTACCGAAGTACTGACACCTGAGCTGATGTGCTCAGGAACTGATAGTCCACCAGCAGAGGTATCGACCCTGTGCTGTAAAAACGAAAACAACACGTTAAATAATTTCATGCGTCCGAAGCGCTTTTCTGAATTTACCTTCGTCAGGAACGCTCAAAGCCGAATATTTGGAAGCCTAGGATGTATAAGAACAGAAACAGTTGAAGAGCTATAATAAGACAAAAAAAAACCCTAAAAAATAGCCAAATCCACTAAGTTCAACTTTGCCTGAAGGAGTTGAAACCTTAGTTTCTTTATAATTTCAAAATTTATAAACGGACAATTTTAGAAAGGTTTGTTATAAATCATATCAATACCGAAGTAGTGACAACTGAGCTGATGATACCTTAGGGAACTGATAGTCCGCCAGCAGAGGTATCGACCCAGTGCTGTAAAAAACGAAAACAGCGATAGCTATATGACAAAAAAAATATATATAAAATAGCAAACAATAATAGTAGCCAAATTTATAAGTTGTCACTAACATAACTGATCTTTACTCTTTCAAACTAATATCTGTTTGGACAAGTATAGGATCGTTAATCTGCAAACTGTAATCACTCAAAAAATCACTACATAAATCAGAAAGGAAAGAAAATAAAGCGTACAAAATTATACTCACGTCATCTTTGTAAAATCTTCTAAACTATGTACGCTAATGTTTAATCTGTGACCTTTTGTCATCCATAAATTTTCAATAATGGGAGGTGTGGCATCTCTGTACACTATAATAGTTTCTTGGTCAGTCTTGTCCAGTATATCAATAGCTTTAACTGTAGCTGTCAAACGGTCGCCATCGGTCCAGTTTAATGTCAGGACATCATACTGATTATATATATCGGAAACAGAGGTGAAAGGTCGTGAATCCTTTAAGCTTTTATGTTTTAAGTCAAAGCTTTCAACTTCATATGATACTTGAAAATCGACAATACCTAAAACAAAAATAAATTACGATTTGTACAAAGTTAAAGTACAAAATATAAATTGTACATTTTTTTGTACAAATTATATGGTGGCATAAATCTGCCCGTACTATATATATATCTTCATTCTCGTAAACCAAAGAACAATGGTACAGAGACATTTACATAGTATAAATTGTAAATACAAATGTAAAGTAGGGAAATAAAGTGGTAACCAAGGAAATTCTAGGCATTTAATAATAATTCTTATAAATTTGCACAGATTGCACAGATTGTTTAGTTCAGACGGGTTGTTGCTTTTCATTAGACCTTGAAATTTGAAAATATTTGGTCTGTTTACAAAATGATGCTTAAGTAGCATTTGTATACTTTCGTCTATTGCCGAGCATTCTAAATTACAATGGAACTCGTCGCCAATATCACCGGAATTGCACAAAGTACAAATACGATTTTCTCTCTGAATATTTTGCCATCTACCAATTTCGATAGGAATGTTTGGGTTCAAAGTTCTAAATCTACAAAAAGAAGCAATATTTTTGTCATCTAAAATATCAAAGTAGGTTTCGAAATTTATACTACTTTTGAATAGTTTATAATTAAGAGCTTTTGAAGAATTCTGTAGAGTAGCATGCCATGTTTGTCTGAATTGGTCATTTAACCTTAATTTAACAGTATCATACAACCAGTTTTTATTTATACAATACTTAGTGTTCCATATATTTGATAGTCCACAATTATCAAGCATAGATTTTACATTCTTACACCCAGCTATATTTCCATTATAACTACCATTAACAAGATTGTATAGAATAACAGGAAGTTTCTTATCTTATCCAGTTACAAGCTTTTCTCAATAATTAATAGTACGTAATTTAATAAAAAATATCCAGTGGGAATCGGCCAAGTTCCCCATATATCATTTAATCAGGAGTGGATTTTTTTAAGATTAAGCAGTAATTTTAGATGAACACGTTCTATAATAGATGTGTTATCCATTCCCCAGACTTCACACCCGTATAATAATAACTACCTTGTCAAATAATTATAGTTGACATTTCATGTTTAAATTATGAAATCTCCCCTTTTTTAGAATATCGTACATAGCCCTTGTTGCTTTATTAGCTTGTGCCTTTTGTTTGCTTATGTGAAACTTCCTGTTCTAGAAAATAATACACCGAGATATGTAAATTCTTCAACAATATCTAACTCAATATCAGCATATTTAAAAAATAACATTTTGTAGTGGTCTACCTTTTACTATTTCGCTTTTAGGGACATTAACTTTTAATTTCCACGTATCACAATATTCCTTTAAAGCGTCTTATTGTTTTTGTAGATCTGCTTGTGTTTCTGACATAAGTACAGTGTCGTCTGCGTACAATACAACAAACAGTTTTAAATACATATTTAGCTCGTTCTCTATTTGATCTGATAAAGATTTCAAACCATTTATATTTTTATTCTGAAAAAAGCTTTCTAAATCATTTAAATAAATAGAAAAAAAGTATAGGAGATAAATTGTTTCCCTGTCTTACTCCTACATTACATGGAAAGTAACCTGAATATTCCCCATCACTAAAAATTTTGGATTTGACATTTTTATACATATGAAATATAGTGTTATACATCTTCCCATTCATTGTATGTACAATGATTTTGACCAAAGACCATATCTCCAAACTGTATTGAAAGCTTTAGCAAAATCAATAAAAGCACAAAAAAGTTTATTCATTTTTTGTCTCAGTAGTTCAAATAAAATATGCAGAGTAAATATGCTGTCTATAGTGGAATAGCCAAACCAAACTGGTTTTCATTTAACAACAAATATTCTTCCAAAAAATTACTCAGTCTTAAATTTAAAATTGACGTAAAAAGTTTACCCATACAGCTTAATATAGTTATTGGTCTGTAGTTTTGAGGATCTGACTGGTCACCTTTGCTTTTATAAAAATGTATAACATTACAATCAAATGGAAGTTCAGGCACTTTTCCAGTGTTAGATAATAAAGGTCACCGTAGAGCCTTCAATAATGGATAAAACATATATCGTATAGTCAGCTATAAAAGGCCGCAAAGTATGCAAGTATTTCAACTTAATTTATGAATAAGTTGTAAAGAAGAGAAACTATATGACAGACAGCTAACAAAGACAACCCCTAAATTAAAGGCTACGTTTAAAACTTACACAAAATAGTTTATGTTTTATTATACTTTAAAATGCTGAGTCATATTTGGAACTGAACACAAATGTGCCAAGCAATAAAGGAAATGCATGATGGGTTTTCTTGCAATACCTCTTGGCATGAAACATAATTCCATACAGTGTGTACAACTGTCAACAAGATTCTTATCCTCTTTACTATAAAGTCCTAGCTAAAAAATAAACATAACAGTTATGTTTATCAGAAAATCAAGGAACTTTGAATTACCTGCTACACGTGAAGATTTCATTCACGCGAGTAACACTTGAGTTTCATGTAAAACTCAGATGAAATTTGCACGTGAGTTGCAGGTATAAGCTCGTTTGAGGTAAATTAACATGAAAATTTTCACTAGAATTTTATGTAGTAGCTAAATTACTTAAGATTAATTTTTTTCGTCAGTGGCAATTCAGATTTCTTTGTTCTTCATTCCAGTCTCATATTGATGAATCAAATATTGGTCATAGAACATTAAACCAACGACAATGAATCAATCAGTTAAAACCAAGAATATTGTACACTCTAATACTACTTTTAACTGGTCTACATATTATCGATTTCTTTTGCATTTTTTCATATCATGAAATTGCTAGAGATATTTTTCATTTTCTTTTTGAAGCATTTAAAATATCAACTAACCATTTACATTATTTATTCTGATATTTGTCCTCTCTCCATACAAATCCTCAATTTCTTTTGTAGTATATGTCTGTACAAGGTTTAACCATTTTTTATGATTATGTCTGACATTGATGAATCGATCTTTCCAATCCACCTGGACATGGTTTGTATTTGAAGTAACCCAAGTATACGATGTATTTTTTGAAGCAGTGGAACTGTATGTTGTCTTCTTTCCTTGTTTTTCCACTACTGACTGGTTATCATACAGGAACAGATTTCTTCCTGATTTATAATTCCCGGCTTTATCAAAAGCAAGTAAATGTAAAGAATACATCCCGGATTCGTTCAAATGCAAAGATCCCTAGAATATACGAAACAATTTAATGAAACAAATCAATGCAATGAAAACATTCAATGTTGAGTCAAAACTCACTTCCATTAAACCACAATGAATACTTAAGGTTCATCAGAAGGAATCGATAAATATGGCCGCTTTTGGACCTGAAAATGTTCTCCAAGTTCAGATTAACCTGTGCACCTGCAAAAGTTTTAGAAACAATAGATATGTGTACAACTATAGGCGATGAAGCTGTGTACATAAGTGAACGGTGTGATATCAAATGAAAGTCAGGTGTTTGGCTATTTTATCATGTTCTGCAGTTTTGAAAAAAAGAAATCAAAAAATTTAGGTAAGTTTTTAATTTTCTGAAACTGCATTTATGATTTATTTTTCTAGTTCCTGTCATGCCTTCAAACTTTTCTAGCCCAACATGTGTCTCTACTCATGGTATTTAACACGGCCATATGTGTTAATTCCTTTCTTGTTAGTTAGCAAGAAATGCCTACTTCATTATTATACACTTATGTACCAAACATCATTCTAATTGCAGATTAACAAAAACTGTGGACAATCGTTGGATTTCAGAAGACTGAATGACGGACTTGATTATCAAGTAATCATGCCCCAGTCACTTTGTTATGATAACGGAGTTAAATCGGTCTGTATAAAATGGAAATTAAATTCTTAAACCTATGTGAATTCTAAACAATACAAAAGTTCCCTTAAGGCAGTGATGTGTTGCGTTTTTTTTTTTTTTAACTCAACCAAGAGAAATTATTGACACAGATCTCTTTTATAAATTTATCAAAATATATTACAATTTTGAGGGCGTGAGAACTTACAAAGAGAACGCACTGACATTATAATGAGAATATGGTGAGAGTTTCAGACAGATGCACATATGCAAATATATGTCCAATGCTTTGTTATGAGGTTGGGAAAAATACTTATGTCAAGGCTGTCTGTGTAGTGTGCAATTTAACTAGTTCCACAATGCAAAAGGAAAAGAAAGGATACTGCTTACCAACTTCTTTCGCGGCTGCTTTTATTCGTGGATAGACCTTAGACAATTTATTTTCATGATGTCCTTACTTATCTCTGTATTGTTACAAGAGAAGAACCTATTTTGTAATATTTAAAAAGATGTATACTCCCAACAGTTTCAAAATAATATACTATGGTGCAGTAAATCCGGACACAAAATCACTTTATGACAACACCACAAGCACAGGAACAACACTTTATTGCTGTTATTCATCTGAATGTCACATTAATGACTTGTACAAGTACATATACAAGTAATTTATACTACGCTGCAAAAGATTAAAATCCTATAGAAAATGTTTGATTGAAAATTTAAACGTGTGGTTTACCTTTACCCTAATTCATGAAAATTGGTAGTCCACGAATAATAAGGAATCCAAAGTAAATGATACATCAATTGCTACACTTGTACATCTTTTTTACTTACAGAGGATTCTGTAATTGGTACACTTTTTTTTAACACCAAATATCCACCGCTACCGCCACCATCAACCAAGACTGCATCATTATTTATTCCACTCACTCCAAGATAATACAGGTCATATTCATAATGATCTAGACCTGATAAATCATCTGACCATCCTCCCCACCGAAAACTCAGATTACGCTACAACAGATAAAAATAAATTGATGTATTTCGTAGTGTTTAAGAAATATCAGTTCGAAACAATATTTGTTGATATAATATTCATTGAAAAAGTCAAAACACAATAGTTTTTACATGAGATATGTTTTATTGGTATTCAATAATTTATATATGTTTATCGCATCTCATCGTCTGCCTTATGCATGTTTTGTTGGATTCCCTTTACATCTGATCCGGTATGACTCAGAAATTTCTTCTTTTGGATTTAAGCATAGTCTACTAAAAGCTAACATTTTTATGAAAATAGGCTATACCAATTACCAAAATCTAATTTATAGCATTCAAGATAGTTGTCAAAAATGGAAACTAGAATAGTTAAAGAGCTGATGTCGCTCAACTCGGTCTATGTGCATATTCATCAATGGACACTTTCTAACATTGTAGATTAAAATAGTTTTTATAACTAAAATCTTTCATTTTGTTGACCTTGTATTGCTGGTAATTTTTTTCTGTTTATAGTGTTGCCAAAACACAAATAGAGCAACAATTGTCATGTAAGGGCAATATCTTCTTTAAGAAGACAACTACAAATTCATCTACATGTCTGTTACCTATTTGCAGATCCTGGTTTTGTTCTTCCTTTAATGTATTGTATCAATTTGTAATGGTTTCGCGATGATAGCTAGGCAAAGACGCAAACAATTGGTAAAAAATGTTATCTAAAGGTACTAACTTAAAAAACATGTTGACCAACGATTCCAGTAATACCAATGTATTTAAAGATCTTGCCTTTAGGATTTTTTTTTGCTCTCTAAAATTATATCTATCTATTATAGTTTCAAAATAAAAGTATTAAAAAATGCCCAAAAATATCATATCGTCATATTTAAGGGCAATAAATTGTATTTTGCATGATGTCATGACGTCATAAATATAAATTTAGCAAGCTTTTTTTATATTGACCACCAATATGCATTTAAATAGAAACATAGCGTCAATACACGTAAAAATAGAAACAAGGCTACGGATACGTAAATAACCTTTGAAACACGTGATCTTTATATCCAATGAAAATAGTAGAATGCTACACCATATGTAATATAAGTAGTTATCGCATGTTTGTTAAGAAAACGTCGGGTTTTGCATATGTAATAACCTTAAAATCGTCCTACTCATATTGCAGCACGGGGCAAAAAAGTGGTTATATATGTTGATCGCATTGGTTATTGTGCCCCAATTCGAAATGACATGACGTCATTGCGATCTTAACGACAGTGGCGAACAATGACGTTGTTTTTATTGAAAATTATGGGAAGTTTGCTACAATAGCTACTGGTAACAATGTATTTACCGATTACCGATTTAGCCTTAGTTATGCCAAATTATTGGTTTTGTGTATTCCCATGTTCAAAAATAATTATAGATTATAACATGTCTTTTCCATATTGGCCCTGGTACCATCCCTCGACCCGTATCGGAACTCGGCTTAAGCCTCGGATGATATGGGATTCTCAGGATGATACCAGGGCCAATATGGAAAACGGCATGTTATAATCTATAATTATTCCATATTTATAAAACTTTAGTAGGTTTTTCTATATGAATGGGATTTTGAATAAATAAGCATATTCACCTGCGGAAAAAGTATATTCACCGTGCAAAACGTCGCGTGCTTTTACGTACATGATTTTGGTATAAAAACGTTTGATGTACAATTGGTTTTTGTAAATTATTGCCATTACATACATTTCTCTCGGATTAAGGAATAAAACAATTACTGTCTTTTGTTTTGGTAAATATGTCTTTTGTTTTGGTAAATATGGGGTTTTGGAGGTGGACTATTTCAACAAATTGTCGGCATCCCTATGGGAACAAACTGTGCGCCTCTCCTTGCCGATCTCTTCTTATTTTCATATGAATCGGAGTTCCTTCAGAAACTTGTCAAAAACAAGAAGATCAAAGAAGCCAGGTTATTTAATTTCACTTTCAGATATATTGATGATGTTCTTTCCATTAACAATCCGAACTTCTCTGATTGGGTTCCATTGATATATCCTCCAGAACTAGAAATTAAAGAAACAACGGACACGGCTTCCTCCGCCTCATTTTTAGACTTGTACCTCGAATTTGACATACACAGTCATCTCAGTACCAGAATCTATGACAAACGAGAGGTTTTTAACTTTGAAATTATCAATTTCCCCCACCTTAGTAGCAATATACCAACTTCACCTGCGTATGGAATATACATTTCACAACTTATTCGGTATTAAAGAGCTTGCAGCTCCTACTCAAACTTTTTAAAACGTCACCAGTGTCTGAGCAGAAAGTTGATGCACCAGGGGTATGTCAAAGAACGTCTCGTCCTTTTTCTAAAAAAGTTCATCGGAAGGTACCAAGACCTTGTTGATTAATATTCCTTATCAACTTCGCAAATAATACACGATGGCCTTGAAGTATAGATTCTGCGTACTGATGTTGTTTATCATCTTAATACGTGTTATAGTGTTCTTTTATTTGTCTTTATAAAATTACTTTTACCGTTTGTTCTTTTTTTGGTGATATTCATTTGACGTGGCTCTGTACTTATACATCCCGTCATTGTGTTGTTTGCATTATCTTTCATATTTGCTTTGTCCGTGTGACTTTTTGTGTTTCTTTGATACATATGACGTGACTCTGTACTTAAACATATCACTATTGTGTTATTGTTTCTATTATAATTTTTGTATTCTGGTCTTTCATATTTGCTAATGATTTGCTTATATGCCCTGTTGTATTTCTTTTATACATAATGACTTGGCTCTTTTTTAGAAGGAATACACAAATTTACCTATAGACAAGCGGCAAGGAGGAAATTTAATCTTCTATTTACATTCTGCAGAGGATATGCCTAAAGAACTATAGACTATATTATTTTCATACTTTGAACGACATTATTTTATATCTCTACCTGTGTGACGTTTACATTCTGACGTCATACGCGCAATTCAACGTTAGAGCCATGCCGATCTGGCTCGGTCCCAGTGCTTAAAAACTTTCCATCGTTTATGGGTGGATTTAACATACATAAATAAAATTCAAAAATAAGAAAACAATGAGTGAGGTTGTTACATTTGATATATGCCTTTTTTTGCATCTTTGTTAAATATTTGTTTGTTTTTATTGGAATTGAGATGCTTGTGGTACTTGTATATTATGTCATTATTGTTTATAATATTCTCGTATTCTTGTCCTTCATTTTGCTAATGTGCTCGTCTTTCATTTTTGCTATGTGCTTTATCTATATGCTTTTTTATGTTTCTTCGTTACATATATGACGTGGCTCTGTACTTATACATCCCGTCATTGTGTTATTGTACCATGGTAAATATGTGTATTCTTGTCTTAAATTTTTACTAATATGCTTGGTCTGTATGCCATTTTGTGCTTCTTTGTTACATGTTTGTATGGTTTTTTAATGATTAGGATTATAACACAATGTTGACTGCTGTATTATTGACATTTTTACCTATTATGTCTGTTTGTTTTGTTCATGCATCGTTGTCAATATAATGGAATTTGATGCGACTGTCATACAAGTGAGAGGTTTAGCTAGCTATAAAACCAGGTTCAATCCACCATTTTCTACATAAGAAAATGCCTGTACCAAGTCAGGAATATAACAGTTGTTATCCATTCGTTTGATGTGTTTGAGCTTTTGATTTTGCCATTTGATTAGGGACTTTCCGTTTTGAATTTTCCTCGGAGTTCAGTATTTTTGTGATTTTACTTTTTAATTGACTTTTAAAAAACTAATATTCACTTCGGCCGTTGGCCTCAGTGAATATCAGTTTTTCAAAAGTCAATAAAACCACATATTAACCTAATTAAAAGACAGTAATTGTATAACCTTGTCTTGCCGATCAATATTTCTATAAGTTCTATATCAATCTATTATAGTTTTGAAAAAATCAGACAGAGATGCATAAGAAATGATAAAAATCGTCTTTCAAGGGCAGTTCCTTTAAGGAGCAGACTGACGATTTCGGCCACCTGACTTATTTGTATATCCTGTATACCTGATCATTCTTAAGGTTTATGTCCATCTTTTATAATTTTTATGATAATAGACAAAAATGAAACTAAAGGATATAAAGAGACTGTGTCGCTACCTGTGTCTATGTGCATCTTAAAAAAATGGTACTCTCCAACAAATTAGACAAGAACAGAATGACATGAATTTCTTATTTTGGTTGATTTTGCATTGCCGATTTATTTTTCTCTGTTTACTGTTATCTCTATCGTCCTTAATTTTGCACAAAAAAGAAAAAGGGAAAACAAATAGTCATTTAAAGACACAATCACTGCTATAAGGAGTCTACGGTTTTTATAAAATTTACTTATTTGTAGATCTTGTCTTGCTGATCATTTTCGCTTTGTAAAGTGTCTATCTATCTTTTATAGTTTTCAAGATTATAGGCAAACACACAAAATAAAACCGGTAAAAATCACCATGAAAAAACAAGATCCAATAAGGAATCCACTGACAATTTCAGCGGAACCTAGCATGTTTCATCTAAGATTGCTGCTGTCAGAGTAAAGGCGTAATACTGATTGTAAACAGTGAGTATATTTATCAGTTAAATACAGATTTAAATATGAAAATCAATCTTTTTTCTTTAGATGCTATTTTGTTTTATCTTGGCGATTAGCATCTGCCCAAGTTTCATAACAATCCATTAAAGTTTGCAAATCTATCATGTCATTTTTTCTTATTCCACACTGCTAACTGCAAAAAAACTAAGCCTATCTAAAATTAAAACACTAAAAAATGAAAGAAATTAATTTTCAAAATTTTACTTCAGATATTATCCATTTTTAAATAGTAAAAAAGCTTCTGCCAAAGTTTCATTAAACTATATGAATGTTTGATGAAGTAATTTGTGTATAACAAACCTTAAGGGCATACGTTACAGTTTCTATCCCATAATTGTTTTTTTTTTAACGAAAATTTGCATACAAGCTATTTTTCACCTAAG